ATCCATCCACCCAACCAATTATTTAAGACATATGTAAGGGAGTGTTACAGACCCCAGGTATACACATATAGATGTATAATAGAATGCACTTCTCCTGCCATCAGCTTTCTGGAATGAAGGCACATAAAATGCAGTGATTTACTAAGCAAAGTTGAATGAGTGCACTAGTTTTTCTGGTATAAATTAGAAATTCTTTTGCTAGATGTATTTCTCTTCTTTTACCCTTGGAAATGACTTCGTTTGAAATGACTAGTCTGAAATAGTCTCATTCCTATAGACAGGCTTCTCTCTATAGTGTGCAAGGCACTGTGCTTGTGTGTAACCCTAATCCCATCTTTAATTAACTTCAGGCCCTCTTCCGGGAAAGGAATTAAGAAGAGCTGTCTCACAAGTATATTTAATGAGAATAGAGCTTTTAAAGGTATGAAAGTCTCTTTTAATGTTACTATTTCTAATGGTTTGGAACCAAAATGCACACAAAAGGAAAAATAAAAAGACATTTAGTTATTATGTCTTACTCTTCTGTCTTATAGCATCTAATTGTGCTAGGCAGGTAGCAGGGTCTCGCCTATCAAATGTTAATAGGACTGAAGACTTTATAAGCAATTTCTGAAATTAACACTTAGGTTCAATTATTTAAGATCCATTTTTCTACTGTCACATTAAAATAGAATGTGCCAGAAATTTCAATAGACTACTTTGTTTGCAGTATGTAGATTTACACTAAATATAATTTAATATGTTATCTTTTCCGAGCATTTTTTATCACACAAAATACATGGAGCTAACTGACAGAAGAAAATAATGCCCGAAACTAATCCATGCTCAAATAGAAGAATTACCTTTTAAGTCCTTCATTAATGAGAAGAGTTGCTTTTATGTTTTTAAAATTTGGAATTAAACACATTTTTACTTTAAAAAACCTACAAAATCCCAAGAAAGATAATGATATTGAACCCATAATCTCTTGCTATTATTTTTATACATATTCTAGGTTTATTTTTTACAGTGGGGAAGTGATAATGTGCAAATTCATACCAAGACAGTTTGGCTCTCACTAATGAATTTTTAATTTTTTTTTTTTTTGCTACTGCTCTAGGGATAAAATAGAGTTGTAGAAGGAACAGATTTGTGAAAATATTTAAAAAGTCTGCAGTAGTATTTTATGGACAATTGTGGTATCTTTATTATCTATTAAAGGAGCTTAAACCAGGGAGAAGAAATTCATAGCTATTCTTTTTTACTCCCCAAGAGACAGGAAAATGTACATTCTGCTTGAACTGCTCTAACATAAGGTCCTTACAGAACAACTTCATTAAATGATTTTACTAAGACAGAGTGTCTGTCTCTGTCATTGGAAGGAAAAGTAATGGCCTGTTCCTGGATAAATCACATTATGATCTGAGTAATATGGAGAAATAATAATTTGGTAGCCACCAGTACTTGTGATGGATGTTTGCTGGTGTCACCATGGGGGTAGAAAAGCATTGATTGAATGATAGTCTTGGACATTCAGACTTATTATTTATGAATTGCATAGTAGAGTAAGAAGAAAGATCATGCTTTTGTGCTGCATGACTGTTTTGGAAAATGATCTCTAATAGTGTTAAGTTAAAAGCTGGAAATGAGTTTGCATATGTAATATTATAACCCAAGATTTAGAAAACATTTAGAGATGCCTAGATGGGCAATTAAGAATTTTAGTGAATTAGGAGATTATGGCCTATGGCAATCATCAGGGCTGTCAGCGAGCTCCAGCCCCATTAGGACACTGAAAGAGGTTAATAGCGTTCTTGAAAAAGTTTTCCTGATGAATTCCTTCTAAAGTCATCTACATTCATTTTATTTCTTTTTCATAAATTTATCAGAAATAACATTACATTTAGTTATCAATAGTGAATATTTAATAGTAACTGGAACAAATTTTCCATTTCTCTTCTCAGAGATGACTGATGAATAATACAATGTATTTAATATCTGATTGCCATTGAGGTGATTGATTTGAACTAGAAGAATGAGATCAAAACCCATTAAATTATATGTCCATTTTTTATTAATGAACTGTCAGTAGAGAAAATCATGTAAAAGTCTAAAAACATATAAAAGTAACACTGATGTTTATTATCAAATTAACTATGTTTAATAGTGTTATCTTCATATAATTTGGTAAATCAATAATCTTAATCTGGTCTTTTTGTTCAACATAGGGAGTTTATTTCTTCAACATCCACTCTTTTTGCTAAGAATTACAACGTAACCACAGGAAATTCCTGTGACTATTGTATAATTTGATGAATTGTTGAGAACTCTGCAAATGCGGCAGCAATTTGTCTGTGCATTCTGGACTTGATTTAGCTTTATCCTTTTTCTCATAGGCATTCTAAAATATTTATGATGGCATACACTGGTAATCTGATGTGTGAGTCCTGTGAGAAACAAAAAGAACTAATTACTAGCAAATTTACAAGCCCTGGTACATTCTTCCAAATTCTGTTTCTACTTACTATATAAAAGAAGTGGAATAATGGATGAAATTTTATAAGTTTAATGATTTTTAAAAATTCTATTGTCATTTTCTTTCTCAATTCTTGCCAGTTGTATCATTGATCATTAACCAGGTCATGTTAGTTCTTTTATACGAATGTAGTGAACACCTGCTTTGGGTTTAGAGGAATTAATCATACAATGTTCAAGATAAATAAAGCTGGCCTTGACTGATTGGGTATTTTATGTACTAGTGTTTCTCAGCAGGCACCTTATAGTCATATAACATTACAGTGAATAATCAGAAGCCAATTTTGGGTAAGTACCTCAAAATTAAATAGCTTTTGAGTAAAGTACATATGCAATAATATTGATCATGAGTGTTTAATACAGTAGGGGAATGGTATTTCAATTCACTTTGATACAGATATTATTTAAATTTATCAAATTAACACATTACTTTTATTCTCCTCAACTGGCATAATTATAAATTTGAAGGTCGAATTCTTATAAGAATGTTGTTTAGTTCACCAGTACTTCATGCTTCCTGATGAGATAAGATCCAAAACCCAATGATGTAAGTGAATTTTTAAAACAATTTTTTGGTGTAAGCTTGTAATTTATTTAATGCCTAGAAATTTTCTGGGAAAATTGGATGATCAAATAATGTAAATTTTAATTATTAAGATCATTAATGATAATGAGAGGATGCACCTCTGATTCTACTATTAGGGAAAAATTGTATCCTTCATAATATTGTTTATTATTCTAATACAAATAAAATGCATCAGGATGTGCCTAATGAATTGCCACTTGATGACTTAAAAGTACTAATAACACTTTGCTTGTATATCTACAAACTGATATTTTCAATCATAAATCTTCTGAGATATTGAATAGATTAGAAAATGATTCACTGAAATTTATTTCATGTATAAAACTTTTCTTACTCACTGGCTGTTACTATTGTTGCACTGACTCACAACCTTATGTATTAATTTAATCCTCAATAAAACACGTGTTTGATAGTATATATCTATATTTGCAGTTTATCAAAACAATTTTTTAAAACAATTTTTTCAATTGCATTTGAGGTCTTTTTCCTTTGCAAATTGTATATCTAAACAAACAGAGTTTAATTACAAATATTAGAAAGCAATTTGAAGTAGCTGGCTAATGACTCCATATCTTAGTTTAGAGAATATTTGACTATTAGTAAGCTTTATATGTAATAGTGACTCTTAACCCATTTATGGGTCATGCTGACCCTTCTAGTGGTCTGCAGAATACTTTAGAAATATAGTTCTTCATTTCTTAAAGCTGACAATACATTGTTCTGGAGCCCTTCATCTTTACCCTCAATAAATGGTTACTGCCTAGTAACCTTTTAATCTAGGAATTATTAAGGATTACTAAAATGAATTTTTTGCAAGATAAAATTAGTGTTACTAAAATTTATAAGGATTTCAGAGTCAGCATTTTGTGAGGTCTGTGATAATATTGCAAAACTCATTCTTAAGATGTAATCAGGTGGCTGAATTTCCTGTACTTTTAGTGGAGAGCACTGTCATAGGGTGTCAGTAGTATTGTGAATTGGCTTAAGGTTCCAATTGTAACTTTCTTAAATGTATTAGTCAAATTATTCTTTGATTTTTTTTAAAAAAATTGCTTTCTTCTTTTGTTATTGTTGTACCAGTTATATTTGATTGTAATTGTGTTTCTTTACAATTTTTCTGAGTTTGTTTTTCCTCACTTTGAATAAAGTACACAGTGGATTTGGGGGTATTTTGCCCTCCAGAAGTGAGATTCCATAAAGTGTGAAAATTCCTACTGCAAAGACTTTGCCAGATTACTCAAACTAATTTAGAAAGTATTGACTTTCTAGTATTATAGATCAAAAACACACTACAGTGTCTTCCTTTTTTTTATTGTTTCTCTTTTGATCTACAAACCATTTTAGAGTAGTGCAGACGGAGGATTTCCTTGATAAAGAGCTAGAAGTGATCCCATTTAAAACAATGGGAAAGGGGATCCCTGGGTGGTTCAATGGTTTAGTGTCTGCCTTCGGCCGGGGGCGTGATCCTGGAGTCCCGGATTTGAGTTCCGCATCTGGCTCCCTGCATGGAGCCTGCTTCTTCCTCTGCCTGTGTCTCTGCTTCTTTTTCTCTATCTCTCATGAATAAATGAAATCTTAAAAAAATAAAACAATGGGAAAAATAGGAAAAAAGTATCACATAGCTATTTAGAGATAGAATTGCTATTGATAGTATCCCAGGATTACAAGTTCTCCTTTGATTTTAGAAGACTGCTTTATATTTTGGACTAGTTCTTGAAAGAATATGATAATGCTATTAGCACATGGCCTATTTCCCCTAATAGATGATGCTGAAAATTGGCATGAGAATCTTCTTGTAATAGTCTGTCCTAATAGGTAGAAAGTTTTATGTTGGAACTTACTATGGTAAACTCTGATTATTTTGAAGAACTAATGAATTTTGAATTAATGCACAGAGGTCAAAATGGATAAGATCTTGTGGAGACTCCTATTGATTTTTTCTGGAAGTCAAGCTTCAGGACCCTTGGTTCAAAGAAATGTCGAATTTGCAGTGGATCTTTATCAAGCTATTTGTTTATCTCATAAGAACAACATTATATTTTCCCCCCTCGGAACAACTTTGGTTCTTGGGATGATACAACTGGGAGCAAAAGGAAAAGCACAACAGCAGATAAGACAAACTTTAAAACTTCAGGAAAACTCAACTGGTGAGATTCTTACATATGATTATTTATAATGGATAAGATCTGGCCAAATTTATTTTGAAAATTAGAGAGAAGCTTGGGGTCACATAATTTAAATACATGGAAAATGTTATCAAAAGCATAAAAGTATAATAAAATAGAGAATTTTAAATAATTTTATTTAAATTGTTTCCTAATGAAAATGTTACCAGAAGAATATATTATTTTTAATACAGATATTTTTATACAGATATAAAACTGTGAGTCTGTCAGTGTATTTTCTTCTGGCCTGCTTTAGCCAGTTTTAATTAATTGAGATCATGTTGTATGTATACATATGTTTATTTGTTTATTTATTCTTCCACTCTCACTATGTTGTCATCATTTTCTCCCATCAGCTTTAGAATATAGTTGTTAATTGTTGCATTTTATTGCCTCTTATGGAAATATCATTACTTAACCTCTCTTTATTAGGTTGTTTCCAGTATTTTTCTTATAAAAATGCTTCAGTGAGTATCCTCTCATAGAAATCTTTCTGTGCATCTCTCATTATTTTATTAGCTTTTAAAATTATTTTTCTAATTAAAATTTAACTTTTTCACCTAATCTAGACCAAGAAAGAGCGGTAATGTATACATTTTAAAAGCTTGTTTGGTTAATGGTTTCTAAAGGAAATCCTTTTTTTTTTTTTTTAAGCACTTACATAATCTATTTGAGAGGCCTTTTTGTTGTGAAGGGTTGTTTTAGAGTCGCCCAAAGGCCTATCTGGAGATACTGTGTAGAAACTTTGGTGCTGGCATCCTGTTTGAAAGGGTAGTTGTCGAGGTGTCCAAGTGGCTCAGTTTGGTTAAGTGCCTACCTTCTGGTCAGGTCATGATCTCAGGGTCCTGGATGGGCTCCACATTCAGTGGGGGTCTGCTTGTCCCTCTGTCTTTCCTTCCCCCACCTTCAAGTAAATAAATAAAATGTTTTTTTAAAAAAAGAAAAAGTAGTTGTCCATCTCTCTGGACACCTCATGTTCTCAACTTCCATAATGATTTTAATTTTAAACTTTACATCACTGTCAGGTAATATGTCCTCAACAACAGAGGAAATTTCCAGATTTTTGGTGTGGAGATTTAATCACTAACTACAGTATGTTTACCTCAGAACATAGTAATTATATTTCAGCATTTGTTTTTCTTTTTTTTTCCAGGGTCTTATTTGCTTTGCTTTAAATAAAGGCAATTTTATGTAGAAGTTAGTGATAGTCAAGGTAATTGCAAAAATTTTCCTTTGTGAATAATGTAAAATGAAGCCACCACATTCCAGATTTAGTCTTGACTGTCTGTATTAATTTCAGCAAATCCCACTACATAGTCCCAGAAACATTTAAATCACATGATACTGCCTTGAAAAGTAATAGAGCATGTATAAAGATATGTAAAGTTGATTGTATGATAAAACAGCAAAATAAGAGCCTCTGAAATATAAATTATTCTATATGACTATATCTTGCAGAGTAACACAGAAGTCTTATCAACTCGGGACAGAGAATGTGATGATAATCATATCAATAAGGAGGATGACACATATTATAATCATATCAATAATGAGGATGACACATATATGGTGTCAATCACATATATGGTGTGGCACTCCCTGTTTCTGTGCTTAGTACCCACTATCTCACTTAATCTTCACAGTTACCCTGTGAGGTAGACGTAATCCTGCTGCTTAGATGAGGACAGGGAGGCAAAGAAACGTTGAGTGACTTGTCCAGAATGAATTCCAAAAATGATTCAGTGAGAGTCATAAATCAGAAGAGCAATATATGATATTTTCCTTGGGAGATTATATATGGACAATTAAACAGTAGTATGTTAACACATGTAACAAAATCTACCAAGCTGCTTTCTATAATGCTTTGTTAAGGAAGAGAGAAAGGGGCACAGATGCAAGGTAACTGTAAAAGGAAAAGGAAGACAAGCAAGAGAAAGAGAGAAAATATGAAAAATAAACTCTGGAAAATAAAAAAGACGAGAGAATTAAATAATAAAGAACAAGGAAATAGAGTTAAGGAAGGGAACAGAGTGGAAGAGCGCAAGGAGATGGAGAAAAGACCCATGGGGTCTGGAGAAAGAAGAGTAAAATGGTGTTAAAGGGTGACAAAGGGTATGATAGATCAGAATGTGGTGTGTGGGTTGGGCCATATTAGAACCCAAGATGGAAGGGAAAATCACTAGTGATCCTGTCTTTATTAAACATTTTTACATTTTGTTCCTCATGGATTTCTTTGTTAATATTGATGTTTTTAATGTCTTGCAGTAAAATATTATCTTGATTATGGAATCTGTTGGCATCTCCTTAAGTTTTATGCCCAACATAAGTGTCTCGTTGACTCATCTTAGTCCTGGCCCTGCCTTCCATTCCCAATGATTATCAAAGGTGCTATCTGTAAATTAGTCTATGTTTTGCATTTGCTGGTATTGGGTTCTTTTATGTTAACACCTGCCTTGTTTCACAGATGAGCGTACAACTCCTGGGATCCTACCCCCACAAGACTCAGTGTCCTCAGTTCTTTCCCCTGAGTAGAAACATCTGCTTAGAATTTACCTCCTCCAGTCTACTGGGCATCTGATAATGCTCCATTTTTGCTATGCCTCTGATATGCTGCTTACTAATCAAAGACTAATGGAGGTGCTTCCTTATTCCAAGAGCGTCATAGAAAAAATCAGCCATGAATTCCAATCCCAGATCTACAACCAAATAACCTTACGATCTGACACCTCTTAAATTACTGTGTCTCTCTGGACTTCAGATTCCTCACTATAAAAAAAGAGGAGTTTGAATAAATAATTTATATGGATCTTTCGGCTAAAATAATCTACAATCCTATGACTGCCTTTGTTTTTCATCTTTGGGTCTCTCGCATTTCACAAATAATTGGCCTTTGGGCTTGTAATACCAGGAGAAGTAAACATGTATTGAATTCTGGAACATTTTCTACTACAATCAAACCAAAAGTTACATTCACCCCATGACCTGTAGGTGTTGTGTGGTTCTGTTTTAGGAAATGAAATAAATGCATTCTCATTGCTTACTAGGAGCCGTGTATACACATTCCTTTTGATCTGTGCTAAAAGAGGCTATTAATCTGTAAATTAAATCAAATTTATAAGGCAGATAACTTTATATTCTCCTCCAAACTTGTGCTACTTGATGACATTTTTCATTGACTTCTGAGTCCAGTGATTTATCAAAGGGCAACTGACTGTCACACAGTCTTAGACCTTAAGTACATGACATAAATCTATTTGTTCTAACAAATGAGTTGGAATTATTTTTCTCCCCCACTCCTTTTTCCCCCCATTCCTTCTAAGATGTTCATAAATTACAGACTTCTGAAGATTAGTTTTAAATTCAGCCACTTCATTTCTGACCTTAATTAATTCTTTTGAAAAAACTCACATGACTTGACTTAGAAAGTCTTTCTCTGTAGCTTCTCAGTTATTGCGATATTTCCCTCAGCCTCAAATAGCAAATGATTACACGTAATATCAGTGCAGAAACAAATAAAATAGATTAGCCTCCCCTTCCTTACATAAGAATTCTAAGATTGTAAAGACTTAACAGAAATTCTACAAATCCAACCATAGGGAAGTAGGTTTTTATGGCTAAAATTGTTTAAAATTGTTTATATCTATATCTATATCCTCAAGAATGGAGAACCGTGGAGTTTGAAATATAATGAAATATACCTACCAGAGCCTCCAGTACAGTTATGTGAGTTGTACCTGCACAGAAGCAGGGGAAAACAAGGAGACAAGTAGGTAATGAAATGTAGACTCCACTCATCGGACAAGATATGAGGTCATGGGGCTCTAGCCCTCCTCCTTCCCCACCAGGGAAGGAACCTGTTCTTATCTGCACAAAGATGCCTATGCCTCTAGCTCTCCAATAAAATGCACACACACACACACACACACACACACACAGATGCCTTATTTCCAATGGACAGCTCAAGGCAAGTTCTCATTAAAACTTTTCTCTCTTTATTCAGTGGGTATCTTCTAATGATGAACCATTTATGTTTTCTTCAATAAAGATTAATTGCACATACTCAACTTTCAAGTTATGAAAGTGGCATTTTTATATTCAGCTCAAAATGTAACAAAGGCCCTGAGTGAAACTTTGATTTGAAATACAGTTCCTAGACTTAAAATGACTGAGTCCCAGGATTAAGCCAGAAGGGAATGAAAAACATCAACACCTTCGGTCATGAATAGCCCCTGAACAAAGATCAAAGCTGAATTGTCTCCTAGGCACATACACCTTCCCAACAACAGTGCAGTCAGAATGAGCCAGCAATACATAATAGAACAGTGGTGATTTTTAGCTGACTCTGGTGGCATCATTTGGTTAGTGGTAATAGTTGGCATGTTTAAAGATCTTTATTGTTCACGTAGACAGCCAAAGTATATACATTCATGAACCTGAAGAAATAGGCAATTCTGATTCTTGCACATCTCTAGAGCTGCTTATAGGGGTTGCCTCATAAATTTCACAACTTGGACGGGTGCCATTGCTCACAAGAGAGCAATTCTTAAGCTGGAATAAAAGCAATATTGAAAAGGATTGCTCATCACTGTCATACCCCCATCAGTATTCATTAGAATTCTCCTTCCATAAATATCACATGTTGTGCAAAGAATGAGGTTCTAAAGATAAATTTCCAACAAGTAAGAATGAGCTAAATTTGACTATAAAAAGGGAATTTCCTTCAGCCTGTTTAAATGCACATTCTTGTTTTTGACAAATTTCAAATTTACATGGACATTCTTTCTTCCTATATAAAAACTGAGTTCTTTATAAAATGCATATTCTATGAAGACAAATGCTTAAAATATTTATACTAACTCAGAAAGGACCGTTAGTTATACGTAAGGGTGCAAAAAAATGGTGATATGAATCAGCGCTTAGAAGCAAAGCTGAAAAGCTGTTGTTTTTATGTTGTTCAATATGTCAGTATACATTATAATTATTTTTTAGGGGAAGAATTTTCTGAGCTGAAGTCATTTTTCTCTGCCATCTCAGAGAAAAAGCAAGAATTTACATTTAATCTTGCCAATGCCCTCTACCTTCAAGAAGGATTCACTGTGAAAGAACAGTATCTCCATAGCAACAAGGAATTTTTTCAGAGTGCCATAGAACTGGTGGATTTTCAGGATGCAAAGACTTCTGCAGAGACAATAAGTACCTGGGTAGAAAGCAAAACAGATGGTAAAGTTTCCCATTTTCATACACTCATTATTTGCCATTGTATTCACGGTTTTTAATATCCTAAAGTAAAGAATGGTTGAATATTTCCTACTAAACTACGGCTCAGAGGGATCTCCTGTTTTGCCGCCCTGTTATTCAAATTAATTCTGAATTGTAAAACTGAGAGAAATTGTAAGCTGCTTTGAAAAGCATACAGAATTTTTTGGGGAGACACCTATTTACAGAATTTTTAATGGAAAACCTTTAATGATAATTTTTGTTTAAGCATAGGTTTTTAACCTATGGCGGCAGAAATAATATACCTTGGCCAGGTAAAAATTGGATCTGTCAATTTCAAGTGCCTTTTTTCCCACATATACTGTAAATAATTAACACATCTTAGTTGGATGTGTTAATGTTTAATAATAAATGTTGATAGTCCTATCATAAACACGATAATCTCAACTTTAATTGCAATACAATCCAGCCAAAATTCTTCAGTGACTGTGGAATGACACCATAGAAAGAACACAGGCTTAAAGTCCCTCAGATCAGAGTTCAAATCCTACCCAGTTCTAAGCTATGCCTCACCTAAAATGAGGATACTTTTAAAATGTTTCAGGGGTTATTTGAAGTTTTGATAATAATGTCTGTGAAATAACAAACATAAATTAGGTCCTTGCTTAACAGTAGTTTGGTTCTTTGCTCATTTATTCTGCTACAAAAATCATGATGGCATAAGGTGCTACCATATTCCTTATAGGAAGCTTCACACAGGGGGGCATGGTTGAAAATGTGGGATGGAGGGTTTGAGTGGCGTTCACAGGTATCATTAACAGGACTCAAAATGAACATCCCTAGACAGTTCCATGGTGCTCAGTCATCCTTTTATCTCTTAACTGAAATAGCCATTGGACATAGAAATAGCAGACTGGTTGTTAAAAAGAAGAAAATCATGCTAGCAACTCCTTTCTTGTCCCTTTCCCAGTGGGCAGTGGTGGTAGCCACAGTAGTAGGAGGTTTATACCATTACCATTGCTACACCAGTAGAAGGTGTACCATTAACTTATTACTTCTGATGGACCTGCTGGAGAAACTTGAGACAAAGTTTGAAAAACATCATTAAATATGCAGGAAGAGACATTCAGGTTTTGTTCTTTCTGACTGAAAAACGATTTACACAAATATTCTTGCTGGAGAGTCCATTATTAGTAGGTCTGTCCAGATTTGCCTAAGACAATCTTGTGTCTCCTGTTTCCTAGTGAGATTCTCTTGGTACCTGTTTCTAAGTGAAATGTTTGAGAGTGCTCCCTTTTTTACTGTCAGAATTGCCAAGGTTAGGTAAAAAAGCACCCTGTTTATAACTGATCTGCAAAAGAAATTTTTGTTTTAATTCTATTTAAAGCAGCCCCACTGAACCACTCTTGCACATGTCTCCCTGTTTTGTCCTCCACCCCCGTCACAGGGAAAATTAAAGACATGTTTTCAGGGGAAGACTTTGGCCCTCTGACTCGACTTGTCCTGGTGAATGCTATTTATTTCAAGGGCGACTGGAAGCAGAAATTCAGAAAAGAGGACACACAGTTGACGAATTTTACTAAGAAAGATGGTGCAGCAGTCAAAATTCCAATGATGAAGGCTCTTCTGAGAACAAAATATGGTAATATGAAAAATCACCCTCCGAAGCATGATTTGGGGAATTGCCAAGAATATTTATTTAATATTTTCTTTCTCTGTTGCAGGTTATTTTACTGAGCCCTCCATGAACTACCAGGTTTTGGAATTGCCTTATAAAGGTGACGGGTTTAGTTTAATCATCATTCTTCCCGCAGAAGACGTGAACATAGAAGAAATGGAAAAGCGAATCGCTGCTCATCAAATCCTAAAATGGTTCTCTGAGATGCAAGAAGAGGAAGTGGAAGTAAGCCTCCCTAGGTTGGTAATGTCATTTTATTATTCGGTTCTTATGTTTTCACTAATGGAGGCATTTGAATAGCTGGCTGAAAGATAACAAATATTTGAATAGGCTATTGATGAGAAGAAAAATGCATTTGGAAATTTAGCTCCACTTTATGGATACAAAGGCAAGCCTGAACATTGGCAGTATTGCTTTGCCATGAGGAGCACTGAATTTAAGTGCTCAGTATTCCCCGAAATAGATGAAGAAATGTAAGTCTTCAAGCTGAAATACCGAGATGAAAAGGAATTTTTTCTTTTTTTTATTATACAATTTATCTTTCTCTATTTTTTTTCCTAATTGGAATTCTAAAATATCTATCTTCTGTTACATTTAAGGAAAATAAAACACCCCCCCCCAAACACTTATGATACCAGACAATTAAAAGATATGTTAAATCACTGTTGACAGCTGGCGCTCTAATAGCCATTGAATGACAAATAGGGAATCTTTTGGCCAGGTTTAAGTAGTTAATACAAAACGGAAATTGTGAAGGCTTACCTCAGGAAATAATAATCATAGACACTAATTTCTTAATATCATGCTTCTAGCCGGCAGGAGAAACTCCAGAGTAAGTTGTGCCCCTATAACTCAATTCACCCTCTGCCTCAGCTTTTTAAAAGAGGCAGATGTTTGGTAGATGATATTCAGTCCTTTTATTTCTAAATTTTCCTGCAAACTCCTCAAAGCCAGCATGGTCTGTGCATCCTTCTTCTAGGCCTTTTGTCACATAAACCTCTTAGCTTTTCCTTTCTTTTCCACTTTAGCTGGGATCCAGTCAGTCATTTCAATCTTATTCTCACCCAATATCTTTAATGCTTTTTGTTAGTTGGTCTTTATCTTGTTTTAATTTCTCCCCAATCATCCTCAACCCCCAAACTATTCCTCAAGCCACTCCCCGCTCCCCAACTATTGATTTTGTTAAGTAAAAACCCAGAAAACAGTCCCTTCTGGCCTCATTGAGGCTGGCGCTGGGAGCTCATTGTTTTTCTTTTTTAATACTCACATACACTACACCAAAACTTGGTTTCTATTCCTCAGGCGCTACTTTATATTGATTTCTCTTACTCTCAACATGTGTCTCGGCTTCTGTTCCTTAGAGAAAACACATCATTAAGGAAACTTTCCTCAAAATTTGTAAACATCTTTTTTCTTAAAAGATTTTATTTATTTATTTGAGAAAGAGAGAGAGGGAGAGAGAGAAAGACAGACTGACAATGAACAGGGGGGAGGGGCAGAGCGAGAGGGAGAAGCAAACTCCCCACTAAGGAGGGAGCCTGATGTGGGACTCAATTCCAGGACCTTGAGATCATGACCCAAGCCGAAGGCAAACGCTTAACCGACTGAGCCACCCAGGCACTCAAAAATTTATGTACATCTTTGATGATCTGCTCTTCCTTTACCTTCCTTGACATCCTGGAAAAGGAGATATTCTATTCTCACCCTAACTCTGGGTTCTTGATCGTATACTATTAACCATCCCCTTTTTCTTGAAAATCTTACATTCTTTGACCCCTAGAGCACTACTTACTTCTGTTTATTTTTCTCTCCTCTGTAAAATTTTCCTGCTCCCTGACTTACATTCTTTTCTTTCTGTTCCCAACTAATGTTTACCAAAATCTTGTCTTCAGAATTTTCTTCTTCTTCCTTTTATTTGTCCCTTATTCTTCATGTCTCTAAAATCTGAATCTCTCCTCCAACCTCTCGTCCAGTTCCCTAGCACCTGTAGAACTCTACCTGGATGTTATTCAGTCCTTTAAAGAGGTGTTTTTGTTGTTGCTGGTGGTTTTTTTTTTTTTTCTCCTACTACATATGAAACATTGAAGATAAAATGATGTGACAGTTTATCTTCTAATAGATAACAATTAGGGGATTAACTTGTTTATTTTCAAATTTATTTTTCTCTCTTTCTCCTTTGGAAAGATCTCTATTTGGGGCCAAAAACCACTGAGTTTGAAAATTGTGCATGCCAGGTACTAGCAATGGGGTTTTAGGAGAGTCACTAGACTGTCTTGAGCTGTGGTTTTATGAGTATAATATTGAAATAATGATACTTATAGCCGAGGTGGCCCCAGCATCATCAGCCTAATTAACAAATTGCCCAGATGATAATGTGTAAGTCCCAAACTCAGTTGGCAGCAGGAAATATGGGCTTTTGCCAGAATTCCCTTCTTCGGGGGGAATTTTAGGAATCTCCACAAGAATGTTGCACAGCACACAAATCCATCCAGGCTACTGCACTACTACAGCTTTTCCAAACTGTTTGGCCTTATTATCAGTTTTTCTAAACTGTGGTCACACTGCTCATACAACTTCTCTCATAGTATGGACACAGACTTCTCTTTTAATTTCTCCAAGAAAAACAGTTCTGGGTTGAATTATGTCCCTCCCAATTCATATGTTGAGATCCTAGCTCCCAGCACCCCAAAATATGACCTTTTTTGGAGACAGAGTCTTTACAGAGGTAATCAAGTTAAAGTAAAGTCATCAGGGTGGCCCCAATCCAACACAGCTAGAGTCCTTATAAAAAGGAGAAAGTTGGATACAGAGGTACACATAGCAGAAAGAGTACCTGAAGAGACAGAGGAAGAAGATGGCCATCTACAGGCCAAAGAGAGAGGCGTGGAACACATCTCTCCCTCATTGTCCTCAGAAGGAACCAGGGCTACCCACACCTTAATTTTAGACCTCTAATCTCTACGACTTTGAGACAATAAAGTTCTGTTATTTAAGCCATCTGGTTCATGGTAATTTGTTGAAGTAGCCCTTGGCAAACTACTAGGAGTAAGAACAACTTCAATGTTTAACCAAATTTTACTGAAAGCTTTATGTTAATAAAAGGGGTTTATAAGGTGGAAAGTAATTTAAAAACCATGTGCCAGGGCTGGGTATTTCTGAAGTATAGGTCATTGTCACCAGGGAGCCTTCCTCTGTCCATTGCTGTCCTGGTAGCAGAACCCATCCTCACCCAGTCTTTTCTGACCTCCTCCTACCCAGCATCCAGAGTCCTCCAACTTTTTCCATCACAGACAGAAGGTAACAGAGATTTTCTGGCCTTTAAGTATGATAAGAATCTATAGCAGCAGATTTTGACCCTCAGTGGAAACATTCTCATATCATGTAGAATAAATTATACCCTCATCATTTCAAACTTCACTACCTCCATCCCACTGGTTCTATATACATAATAAAAAGTTCATCGTGTTGCTTTTCCCAAACAAAAGAATGCTTTCTCTTAAAGGTGAATTTGAATCTTCAGTGATACAAAAACAGAAATATTAATTGGCAGTTGTCCTCCCTTTTCTCAAACAGATTCCAGGCACCAAAGATTTTTTAAAAAAATTGGTGGCAGTTTCAATTACAGTACCTCATTACAATACTTCTATTCATAGCACAAAATATAGCAAATAGAAGGTTCTAAAAAAGTGATGGCTGTTTTTCTACTTTTGTTAAGGTCACTGCCCAGCAGCCCCAAAGTAGAAAGTCTTCTGTGACTTCTCAGTGTCTCTCATGCCTGGCAGGCCCTTCCTTCTCCATGGTATTTAGCCAGTAAATTCTCATTCATCTTTCAATGTCCTCTCGCAATTAACTCTTCAGTGTACATTTCCCCCAACATGCTCAGTTAAAATCAACCATTCTTTATCTTTATTTCTAGAACACTTTATACAAATTTATATTATGGCACTTTTTACATTCCCATCTCTTGATCACATTCTTGTCTTTCCTATTAAGATGTGAGCTCTGGAATAGGGGGTTATGTCTCCTTCTTTTGGTTTCCACCATACCTAGGACATTCCATGGCACATAGAGTGTGCTAAATGAATACTGTTGGATTAAATTATATAAGTATTTTCTAGGAAAGCAATTCCATGTTATTTACTTTTATCTAACTTTAAATACCTCAAAAATCAGAATTCAACTTTCCAATCACACTTTAATTCATTCCTTGTGAAGATCCTGATGAAACTTTTGCATACACATAGCATAATGAAAGACGGGCCATCAACCATTTTCTTGGAAACCTCTTTAGGGAAATAAAAATGAGATTTTTAAATTCACAAGACTGAAATCTTTTTTTAATCAATTATTTAATCACATTAACACAACGTTATATTTAAAATGTATTCATTCACTTTTCACAGAAGGATAAATCTTCCAATTTATCAAAGGAAGGATTTGCTTATGTGTTAAGTTCACAAACAATTTTAGTCCATCAGGACACATTTATTGAATTACATTTCCCGAGCAGTAAGACCATGGATTGAAAGTTCTGACGTACATTTCCCCATAATGAATAATTTCCTTACAACAGAAAATGCCCATTTAAAATCCTTTCAGTACAGAGAGGGAAAACTACATAGGTGGTGTAAATACTTTAGAGTGGACTGACAATTTTAGGTTTTATTTCTCAATTCTGTGGTTCTTTTATATCTGGATGAATGCATTATGCTTTCAAATTGATAACTAAAGATTTTGGTAAGATCGAACAGTTTAATCAGCTGGGTTAGTTTCCTAGGATTTAAATAAGAGAAATCCATTCTCTCAAAATACAGTTCTGGAGGCTAGGAGTCCAAAATCAAGATGTCAGCAGGGCCATTCTCTCTGAGACTGTGTGGAATCCTTCCTTGCCTCTGCTCAGCTTCTGGTGGTGATCCACCATCTTTTGTCTTCTTCTGCTTGTAGATGCACCACTCTAGTCTTTGCCTCTGTTGCCATGTGGCCATCCATATTCACATGGCATTCTCCTTTCTTATGAGGACACCAATCATATTGGATTAAGGTCATCCTCTATTCCATTATGACCTTGACCTAACTAATCACATCTTCAATGACCCTATTTCCAAATAAGTCTCATTATGAGGTACTGAGAAATAGGGTTTTGATAAATGAATTTGGGGCAGGTGGCCCCATTCAATCTGTAACCCCAACTATGCTAAATTCTGTTAATGTAGAACAGAATAAAAGCCTCTTTGGTAGC